CTCCCCAGGAATCCTTCGTCTTCTTCTCCTTCTCAAGTGTTGTCCGTTGCTAGATAGGAGTGAGGCCCCTGCCAACTGGGAGTGACCAGATCGCGCTACATCAGTTTCATTTCTAGTCAATTTTAAATTTTATATTCTATTTCCACCATTATTTTAAATACTTGTTATTTATCATATTCATTTTTATTTAATATGATGAATTATAATGCTAAGATGTGCCCATTCTTTTTTTTATGAATTTTATTTATTTTGTATTTATGTATTTTCAAATTTTTATTATTTAATTATGGCATCATTGATTGACCCATTTGACCGATTGAATATTTACCTACAATTAGTGGAAAAATAGGGTTTCATTTCTAAATTAATTTTACAAATCTAGGATTTTATACTATTAGCATCATTGCATATGGATTTAATTAGTGGGATTTGATGATGAAAAACAAAAATTGCTAAAATATAGAATTAAATGAGAGAGAATGGTACTGAATTCTTCAAATATGAGACTTCACAAGATGAAGTTGGATGAACTTAATAGTAATATTCAAATTAATTTTCTGCTGTAATTACATTTTCTCCTCACTCAATATTAATTGCTAAACTTTTAGAGTATGTGATTCTTGTATGCCCATATTCTATTTATTATCATTTGATACCTACTCTTTAAGCAGAACCTTTTTTCTTTGTCTTAAGTACTCGTTAGGTCAATTTCATGTGCAAAACAACTTTTAAGTGACAAGGCCCACATAGTTGGATAACAATTAGTGTTGTGTGTTTAGTACCATTGGTGTTTCTACTTGAAACATATTGGGTTCATCAATACAAATTGATGAAAAATATGTTTTGTCACATCACATGTGAGAGCTATTTCAGCTGAAAAGGTGCCTATATATCTAAGACTGATGATGTTTATAATTGAAATGCTAAATTGACATATTTCAAGTTGAAACAACGATCTGTATTGATGAATCCAAAACATTTTACCTAAAAATACGTATAGTAATTTATGTTGATTAACCTAAAATGTTTAAGGTAAAAGCAGCACGGATATCAAAAACAACCTATCAGACAGTCACTACATTGTTTGCTTCTTCCTCAAGCCTCTCTTTCCACTGGTACATGTCCCAACAACACATGAAGACGTGTGTAATTGGATAAGCAATAATAGGATACATTTATGACCCTTTGTCTTATCTGTTTCTTCCATGAATACCACTCAAATGTATGGCTAGCTTCCCTTCAAACTATGTTTTCTTTCTGATGATAACTATTGCTTAGTGGTCAGTGCACTTTGTCCTCAGATTTTGAATTCTGGTACTGTTTATCATTAAGTTCTACAAGACCAGAAGTCGACCTGTGATAGAGGTACCGATAGCTAAGGACTGAAACTTGCTGAGTTGGGTCTTCAAACTGGAGAACCGAACTGATTGGGTCTACATGAGTTAGAAGGGTAGATATATAGATTTAGGGTTGGGTTTAGGGTTGCAAATGTTATTTATCTATCCGATCCAGTTAAGGGTGATACCGAGTCCATGATGTCTATCTTTACATCCAATTCGATTCAATCTGATGTATAGTTAAAGTCTTAGCTAGGGCCTGTTTGGTATGTATTTTCATGAAGTCTTTCGGTTATTTATAAATTGGGTAGATCAATTTTTGGTCTATTTCCGTTTGGCTTGTGGAAGATCTAATCATTAAAAGTCGGAATGCCGAAAAGACACAAAAAATTCATTTTGAAAAGATTCAATTCAAATAAATTTTTTCACATCTTTCGAATTTTATTCTCGCACGAAAAGACACAGAAAGACGCACGAAAAGACATACATCTACTAAATATGCTTTAGGCTGTTCAAATCTTTATGCAAAAACACAATGTATCTTTTAACTATTAGAACTATGAGAAAATCTTCCAAAAAAACATGCCAAACAAAACTCTAATCTGCCAAACAAGACTCTAATTGGATTATTGGGTGAGCTATTGCCACGCCTTACACCCTACACATAACTCATACGAACAGACAGGGGCATAACGTTTTGGCACATGATTCACCATCGATGTGCATTGCACGTGGTGGTATCTGACTACCTTCTCTCAAGTTTCAATCAGCACGAACACGACTACACACCATGAGAGAGAGAGCGAGTGAGCAGGGCTTTATCCGTAAGCCCAAAGGTGCGGAGATTTGAGGGTCACGTTTTGCCCTTGTGCTCAGGGCATCGCCCAGGCAGGCCACTTGCCAGTCACTGTGTGTACGCCATCCTGCAAGCCAAGGACTCTAAGGGCACCTTGGTTGATTATGACTCAAGATAGCTCCTAATAAAGCAAGCGGTGTTCTGGATCAATCGGATCAATTAGAATATTAGGGGCCCGTTTGGTTTGCAGGAATAAGAAAATAGAATTAGAATCGAAATGATCTATTCTGACTCCAACCATTCGTTTGCTTCTGGTAGAATGACATTTTTTCATTTCAGAGAATGGACATTCTCTCCCCCACCATTGGGTATGAGATTTCCATTCCTTCCGATTTCTATTCTGATTTCAATTTCCGTCTAAATCAAACAGACTAATGGAATATATCATTCCGATTTTAACTCCAATGTGGACCTTAAGATATATCTATATATCAAATATTTTGTGTAAATTTATATTTTTTCTTGAAGATAGGAAGAAAAAACTAATTAACAGAAAAAGAACTTTAAAAAAAGGGCCTTGACAACACAACAACAAAAAAAAAGAAAAAAAAATCAAAACAAAACAAAGGCACACCACACCCAAAGCCCTAACTTGAAAAAACACCTGCAAAGAGAAAATCAACCCTTCCAAAGAGAAGAACAAACAGGGCCCCACCCTTGGAAGCCAAAAACCACACCACCGACATCCAACCAAAACAACCTCCCAAGTCGACCTAGAACTAAGCAGTCCCTCTGTCTCTCATGGATTTCCTTAGGCTGTGTTTGGTTGCAATGTAAATAAATTTGCACTGATACAAAAACCTGGCAATGCAAATTATTTGAGTGTAAATTTTGACATATTTTTGTTTCAAATTTTAGTTTATTTTGTTTGATTACAATACAAATAAATAAATTAAAACATAAATCAAAATAACGTGAAATCCAAACAAAATTAAACAAGAATTTGCATTTTTTACATTTATATTCCCATGCATTTGTGCTAGTGCAAATAAATTTCCATTGCAACCAAACACAGCCCTAGGGGTGCTCTCAAAAACTGAAAAACAATTGAATCGATGACTGAATCAAGAAATTGGAAGTTAACCAAACCAATATATCTATATATTTGTATTGATATTATATAATTATATATCTATTTATATATATATAATATAATATATCTATCTATATATATATAATATAATATATTACATATTGTATTGATATTATATAATTATATAATTATTGATAATATATTATAAATTAAAAAAAAATGAAAAGCCAAAGAACCTAACTGGTCAATTGGTTAACCAATTGCTTTCAGCTTACTAAAAGACCGGTTCAATTTATAAAATGACCCACAATTCAGTTTACCCAACGTTTTAAAAAATGATCTAGAAACGGAATTGTTTTGACCATCGGTTTTCGGGTCAACTGTCCGATCGTCCTAACCTTCTGTAGTATATATTAATTAGATGACCCTGACTAGTAATTTCATATCTGCTTGTACTTCATCAGATACAAGCAGTTCTCATATCAACAGTCCGGATGAATGAATCATATGGATCAACAACTTCTTCTTTCAATATTCGGTGCTATGCACTATTAAATCTCCCCTTGACCCCTTTTCTCCCCAAAGTGATGGTTGTGGGATTAGATTCCGCGTCATTGTTGGAACAAACAATACACCAGTGAGACCTCTTGGTTGGTTCTAGCCATCAAATCCGTCTTATAATGGTGATATGAAGCTACAAACTACACTTTGAAAAAGAAATGAGCCCTTAGGTTTAACCCATTGCAACTTATCTTCCATCACAGGTAGTTGAAAATCCAGAGCAATTGACCACATTGTGGGTCTACTGATGTTACAGGCAAACTTTAGTATCATGTGCAACACGATTATCTATACGAGAAGTGAACGTGACAGAAGCATTTAATCAAGGGAACACAAGTTTTGGATCCAACAGGAGAGTTGTAATCTTTTGAGCATCTCCTTCAAATTAACTTGAAAAGCCATTGGTTAGAGAACGATATCTTCAATATTAAAGCCAATAAAGCAATTCATGTTAGAGAAGAAGTAAAGGGTGCCAAATTTTGTGTAAATAAAATCTGGGGCTGTCAAGCATGATAACGGAGTCTGAATCTTCTCCTCACACCAACTTCACAATGTCTCCTATCCTCCTATCGGGAACAGATGTTACCAATACACCGGGATGGGGCTGTGAGGTGCACTCTGTATGAAGCAAATCGCGATTCATGATAATGGAGGTTCGAGCCTGAGTGCGGCCACCTTGTGCTAAAGTGTCGAAACTTGGGACCCAATCCAATCTATCCCTCCCAGGACCAAGACCCTAGATAGCTAGAACCAAGTAGGTACATTCACGGGTTCAGACACGTAGAAAAGAAAATAAAGCTTTCAATTAATATGGTTTCCATATGAAGTACATTGGACATGACCAGCTTCAATTAATTACTAACTCTCCGAGTCCGACTACCAAATGCATTGGACGCTCATATTTTCCCATGAAAGGGTTTTCTTAGCAGTTGAAAAACTTTTCAAAACTGTGAGTTATTGGAAAGAAAATACATTGGACCTATCCTAGATTTCCATGTTAGGATTTCTTTACCGCCGGTGATCAGTTGGCTTTATACCGCTCTTTTTGAAAATATCTCTTCAATTACTGCTAACTAACAACTTCTCTCTCTCTCTTCTTTTATTAGAGCACTGTTATAAGCTGATTATGATCAACAATTTAGTTTCTATGTCAAACGTGTAAGGACCCATTTCAATTTGACAAGAATGGATATCCCTCTAGAATTAATGGACGACTCTCTGTCAAGTTAGCTTGAAAGAAGAAAGCATTAAACAGGCAAGAGGTTGGGCTAGCTTTTTCATGAAAAGACAAGCAAGGCCTTTTAACTTAGAAAACCAAATTAATGGGTCGACCACCACCAGATTTTATCAGGAGGAAAGAAGGCTAGCTAGTGACATCAAGCATTGGTCCACACAAGCAAACTTGGATTCACCAAAGGCCTATATATCTTTGGATGTGAACTCCATGGAGTCACAACTACTTGAAGGATTACCACTTATTAGGATTAACTCGCAGCCAGTCTCAACTGATCTCCGTCTCAGAAAGTCTAGAATAAGGTTCAAGTTAAGGTAATCTCCTAGCTTTTGTCTTTACTTCTTTGAGCGAGCGAGCGAGAGCGAGAGAGAGAGAGAGAGAGGTTATTTGATGAATTAGTTTAGTAGGTAAGCTATGGCGGAATCATTCTCTCTGATCTCTAGAAGGTCTAATGACTCTTTTGTAATTCTTCAACTTCTGCCTTTGATTATAATTAGAGATTTTGAAACTTCATTCGCGTTTTGTTACAAACTCATCATTTTCTATTTGTGTAATTAGTTGTTGGACAAATGGAGGTGAAGCAAGGAATTACAGTAACAAAAACCAAGCTGCAGTCTCAGAATTTTGATGAGATAGGTGAAGATGTATCCAGATCAACGTCAACCCAACTTTCCATATCCATCCCTGCAAAGAAAGATGCTAGCAGCAGCAAAACCTTGAGCATAACTGGACAAGTTGACAGTCACAGTGAACCTGAGGATGGAAGCAGAACAGCAAGAAAGCGAAGCCTTGGAATGAAAATGGACTCATCAAGCGAAAAACTTATCCATAAAACGAAGTCACTGAGTGCCCATTTTCTTGTGGATATAGATAAAGTTATCAAAAATGACACTGGAAGCTTTGGAGAAACAAGTTCTATGCATGATGGAGCTTCTAGAAGCCATTTGGGCTTCTCCTTCTCACTTGCTGGAGCAACCGTGGGTTTTGATGATATCTCAGATGTTAGGAGACTGAAGAAAACCAAACACAGTAAGAGTTTACCAGTTCTACTTCTGCCCTGTTCTACTTCTGCAACTGCTCTTTAGCTTGCACAGCATATGCACTATTGTCAACTCCCATTACTATGAAACTAATCTTCAATCTGACCTCCCTAGTTAATTAGTAAGAAATAATTATTTCTCCAAATTAACTGATAAACCAAGTGAAACATAATTGAATAGTAAAAAAGATGGGCCAAACTGCCCAATTACTCTTAGTATCTCTACTACCAATTTCTTTCGTCTTTCCATTTCCTTTTTTTCTGAAGCTAGGCGACAATTCTGACAAATAAAAAAATTAGATGACAATGCAGTAGCCGACTTCCCCTTATCTTATGATGATGATGATGATGATGATGATGATGATCAAGATCAATGCAATTGGAAGAAAATTCAAATTGAACCTACTTTGCCCATATGTCTAAAGGTAACTTTTAAGACTCTATCTCTTTTGGGCTTAAAAATTTTCAAATACTGTTCAAAAGGGTTTTAACTTCCGTGGCTCATACCTTAGTTCCAAGATGTGAGATACAAGGTGGCGCTGAATGGAAGGAGGAGCTCTGATGCTGAGAAATACATACTCCATGGAGTTACAGGTTCGGTGCACCCAGGAGAGGTGCTTGCTCTGATGGGACCATCAGGAGGTGGGAAAACAACATTGCTTAATCTTCTTAGTGGAAGAGTGAAAACGGACGATGTTAGCTGCAGCATTACTTACAATGACCAACCATATTCCAAGTCATTAAAGCGAAGGTACAAGCTTATAAATACAAACTACTGCAACAAGCTAGCTAAAAACGTAGATAGTTAAATAATTTCTATAACATGATACATGTATATATATGCATGGATGAGCATATACAGTCGACCATGTAATTTAATGTCTTGTGTACAGAGAGCTGCAATTTTGTATCTTAAATTCCATGGGAGTGCAATAGTGTGTCTGCAATATTGTGCTCAAGGTGAAAGATTTATAGCTCATGGTACTGTTACCAACTGTGAAACATGCTTCTATACTGTAGAATTAATTGCTTAGTACTATATAAGATTGATTACTGAGAGATTGAATGCTACTACAATGATGAACAGGATTGGTTTTGTGATGCAAGATGACGTGGCTTTTCCTCATCTCACGGTGAAAGAGACTCTAACGTATGCTGCTCTCCTACGTCTCCCCAACACACTAACCAAACAACAAAAAGAAGAAAGAGCTATGAACGTGATCAGCGAACTTGACCTTGAAAGGTGACCTCTCTGTTTATGATACAAACGCAGAACCGGGTATTTATGTACTCTAATTCGTGTTTGTGAGTAATTATTTTCCATACTAAAACGTAACGATTAAGTTTAACATCACCGTGATAAGAGCACATTACTATACCCATTTTTTGGGATACAAATTAGTGCTCTTCTGATAATGGGTGTGCTTGACCGAACATTTAAGGTTTAATTTGGACGGAATACAAGTGCAAAACTTTGTATTTTGTATGTATTTACATTGTACATATTTGTATTTGTACTCTTTTCAAACTGAACTTAAGGCATTTAATGAGGGGGCCTATGTTTAATTTGCACCAATTTCAAATAAATAGGAAGAATACAAAAAATGGGTTACACTTTTCATTCTTGAACGGGAAAGGTATCTATGCAAAGTATATATTTGAGTTTGCATCACAACCAAACGCAACCTAAGGCTCAGTTTGGGAAGAGTACAAATGCAAATATACACGATGCAAATGCAAGGTCTAAGAATATAAAGTAATACAACATACAAGGTTTAGGAATATAAATTACAAGGTTTTGCATTGCACACATTTGAATTTGTGCACTCTTCCCACAAGGAAGAGTACAAATACAAATATCAACTGTACATATTTGTATTTGCATCCCAAATTGGCATGGTCTAATGATAGACTCTATTGTAATATTTAGGTCCTGTTTGGCGCGTCTTTCTACGCAGTCTTTCGGCTGCTTACAAGCCGGGAAAACTGAAAATCGGTCTATTCCCGTTTGATACGTGGAAGATCTCGTCGCCAAAAAGATGCGGGAAGCCCATTTTGGGCTGATTTCGGGAAGCTCCAAATGAAACTTCCTGTGTCTTCCGTGTTTTAATCTTGCACGGAAAGATGCACATCTGCCCAGATCTTATGTCAAAAGCTCAATGCGTCCATTGATTGTCAGAACTACCAAAAGATCTTCTCAAAATGACTTAACAAAGGGGCCCTTAACCTTTGATTGGTAAACCCATTTGGAATTCAATAACAATCAAGTTGCTATTTAGGGTTTACACTAGGGACCCATAACACAGAATCTAAGATCAGTACAAGATAACAAGAGAGAAAACAGATGGTCTATTAATACATAACATACTAGCTAGTACATAGCTCTGAATTTGCACGCGGCTATTGTGTCTGTACTTGGCTGGTTGATACTCATGTCATGAATCTCTTGAAAACCTGTAACACCCATCTTATCTTTTAGAGAAGATGTCCCATATTTATCCATAACTCAGAAATTTTACTTGGACATGAAATGATAGAGATCAACTATGGTAGCTCTATTATTTTATACCCATAAAACTGTTTCAGTTGCCTGTTTCTCACAGCAGACAGGTTGACAGACCATTTAAACACAAAATAGGTAAAGATAACATTTTCACATATTAGCTTCCGGTTGTAAATTGAAAAGTTGGTGCAATTTTGGCACAGGTGCCAGAATACGATAATTGGAGGGTCATTCGTGAGGGGGATTTCAGGTGGGGAAAGAAAAAGGGTCTGCATCGGCAATGAAATCTTGCTGAACCCATCACTTCTTTTCCTAGACGAACCAACCTCTGGTCTAGACTCAACTACAGCTCTTAGAATAGTTCAAATGCTACACAATATTGCAAAGGTAATAAACCATGGCATTTCTTATTTTCTTTAATTTAGAGGACACCTTTCAATTCCTTGAATTTCAGTGTGGGGTTTTGTAGGCTGGCAAAACAGTAGTGACTACAATTCATCAGCCATCAAGCAGACTATTCAACAAGTTCGATAAGTTAATTCTCTTGAGCAGAGGCAATTCATTGTACTTCGGAAAAGCCTCTGAAGCTATGCTGTATTTCTCTTCAATTGGTTGCTCTCCTCTGATAGTTATGAACCCAGCAGAGTTCTTAATTGATCTTGCAAACGGGAACATAAATGACAAATCAATCCCATCTGTTCTGGAGGATAAAATCTTACTTGGAAGCCAATTTCCTGAAAAACAAGATGGAAGGCCATCCCCTGTGGACGTCCATGAGGTTATAAATTGATCATATGGCTAATCTTATGTCTGCTTATTTAATTCTTTTATTTTTCATGGAATTCCTTCAAATATATCTGCATTCTGTCTTCTCTGCAGTATCTTGTAGGTGCTTATGAAACAAGAGTTGCAAATATAGAGAAGCAGAAGCTTCTGAAACCTGTGATGGTTGATAGTGAGTCAGAGATACAGGGAATGTCACATTCAATAGATTGGGGAGCATCCTGGTGGGAGCAGTATTCAATTCTTTTCAGGAGAGGTCTCAAAGAGAGGCGCCATGAATATTTAAGCTGCTTACGAGTCACCCAAGTTGTATCCACTGCGATAATAATAGGACTCCTCTGGTGGCATTCTGATGCTTCATCTCCCAAAAGGCTGCAAGATCAGGCAAGTATTAATTATTTTCCTAGTCCTGTTCTTCTCTAGATGCTGCTTTTTCGAAGTTGTTCAGTCAATAACAACGAAGAAGGCTTGCAGGCAGGGCTGCTGTTCTTCATTTCTGTATTCTGGGGATTCTTTCCTGTATTCACAGCCATCTTCACATTTCCACAAGAAAGAGCAATGCTTGCAAAAGAGAGAGCAGTAGGAATGTACAAGCTTAGCGCCTACTTCATAGCCAGAAACGCAAGCGATCTTCCTTTAGATCTCATTCTTCCTATTGTGTTCTTGGTGATAGTCTACTTCATGGTCGGATTAAAGCAAACCTTTTCTGCATTTTCCTTAAGCATGCTTACATTATTCCTCACCATTGTGTCTGCTCAGGTAAGAAGTAAAGGGTATTCTCAATTATCAGAGTTGTATTATTTTCCCCAGGAATATAGAAGTCTACATGAAAACTCAATTAGCTTAACTCATTGATTGATAATTTTTCCATTGCAGGGTCTGGGATTGGCCATAGGTGCAGCATTCATGGATGTGAAGAAAGCAACAACATTGGCTTCAGTTCTTGTTATGACCTTCATGTTAGCTGGTGGTTTCTTCGTTCAGGTAAGATTATTAATCCTGACCCATATAAACCACTTTCACCATATTCTTGCTACTCCAGCTCTCAAAGCCAGAGCTTCTGTGTCTCAGTTACAAGCAACAGATTCAGCGCTAATGCAATAGCTGGATGTACCAATTATCTGTACACTTTCTCATCTTGATATGCATAACCTGCCCGTTTCTTACCACTACAATGATCGATGATTCACCTTTTTTTACTCTAAATCTAATCTATGGTTGCAGAAGGTCCCATCTTTTATGTCTTGGATACGCTACATCTCCATCAACTATCACACATACAGACTACTTCTTAAGATCCAGTACAGTTGCTCTGGTTCGGGTCATGGATCGGCTGCATGTGATTCCCCCTTCATTAAGGGACTTAAAATTGATGATGGTGGGAAGGAAGCAGGGGCCATGATTACAATGATTTTTGGGTATCGATTATTAGCGTATTTGTTTCTACGGGGAATCAAACTTAGGAAAAGAGATTAGACCACGGACCAAACTGTTAGATCAGTAGTAAAGATGAAGATGTTTCTTTGTTATTCTTTTACAAGGTTTCAAGGAATTAGTGATTGTTCCAAGAATGATTGGTTCTCTGCCGTGAAGCTTCTGCATTAATATTAAACTTTGTGCTATTGTATGTTCTTTTTATTTTTTATATTTTTAAATTTTGAGCAAACTTATGTGACGCTATTATTCGTTTTAATAACAGTAGAGATATTTCACAAGTTCACGCTTGAGAATAGATCTAATGAATCTAATTAATCTTTGGTGCTACTATGTGCTAGCTAGGGTATAAATGCAGATCATAATATTAATAATTAATAATATTTTAAGGGACAAATACAACGTCTTTAGAAATTTAAGGGAATAATACACTTAAAGTGCCTTTTTTTTTTGGATTTTGAGAGACGGGAAAGTTGGTCCATAGTGTTAGATAGTGTATGCCCTTAGCTCCAATCAGATTGATACACATTTGACATTTATTGTAAATAAATAAAAAATACATAATTGATTCATATTATATCTGGTTTGTATCTATGTAATTACCCTTAAACTAGATACTTATGAGACTCATGTTAGTTTAGAATGTTCACAGTCATTGGATAAGTCTAGGGAGGTTTATCCTGCCAAGGCTGACACTAATGTGCTAGGGTGAGACCCGAAGCACATGTAGTGTGGGTTTATTTGAAACTATGAATCAGACCATTTTCCAGTTGGGCCCTAGACTTTAGAGATAGATGGGCAAAACTCGAAAGTTACACCTAACCCCTACACTCGATTATGGTATTGTACTAGGTGTTGGATTGGATTGTCTTTGATATGCCAATCAGTGAGATCCTTAGCGAGGGTCAAAACCTAGTTATGTTGGGGCGGTCCAAAAATTCACCTGAGTGGGTGATCATAGTGATAGAATAAGCCCCTTTGTCGGACAAAGTGAATGACCGGGGAACAACACTCTCTCTGATGGAAACCCAAACTACTGAAGTTGAGCCTATGATCCATCTTGAGCAGAGAATGCGACACTGTACCTTGCAGCCGAGGGAAATGTCCTCTCTTATCGAGCAGTGTTTGATTATTATGGCTAAGAGGTTAAGTGTAAGACCATTTAGGGCTTTTACCTGATGGGCTAACTCACTTAAGTCCATAGTTCTTGGGCCTTCATAAGGTGGATGGACCCAAGGACCATTTACTGAATGTTGGGCCTGCTAAGAGCCCATACTGATGGGCTCAGGGGTTCACTGTCTTCAGCAGGTGAATTTAGCCAGACCTTGTAACAGAGGCTAGACTGAACCCATATGGCTTTGGTAGAGATCAATGTTAGGGTCCCACACCATACAAAGAGGGTCAAGCTAGCCAACAAATTAAAAGGGAAGTGAGCCTAATAACATAATGGGCCTAAGGCCCATTTCGAACTGGGTTAATGAGATTAATCAAAAGTGGGTGAAAGTGGGTGAATTTGAGTTAAAATCTACTTCTGGATCAGCAAGAGGATAAGATATGTCTTATCCACTTCAAAGTTCATATCAAAATAAAGATTTGGATCAAAGAACACTTTCCTGATAGGATTAAGAAGCTGATCTAGAGAGGTTATAAATAGAGGGTGAAATCCTTCTATTAAATACTTTTGCATATCCCGTTCTTCTCTCTTTTTTTGCCACCCTACCCACTTCAATCTCCATAGTCTTGGACTAATCAATAATTGTTCTTGATTCTAATTCTTGCTAAAAGAATCAGATCTAAAGTTTGCTCACATCCCTTGTGTGATCTGTTGAGCAAGAACTAGAGAAGAGAGGAGAGGATAATAGAGAGGGAGAGAAGAGAGGAGACTCGAGTGGACTAAGAGCCCTCCTTAACTCAATGGGCGAGAGTCAGTATTATTATTTATACCCCAGTCGTACAACATAAAGACAAGAGAAATTTACAACAGTACCCTTGCGGTACTAAACCCGAGAACATAAATAACTGTTAACATTCCCCCTCAAGTTGGAGCATAGATATCAATCATGCCCAACTAGTCACACAGATCATGATGTCTAGAATGGTTTAGACCCTTTGTAAAGATGTCTGCAAGTTGGTTCTCAGAATTAACATAGGGAGTACACACTTCGCCTGTGATGACTTTCTCTCTGATAAAATGCTTGTCAACTTCAATGTGTTTTGTTCTATTATGTAGCACCGGATTGGTAGCAATGTTTATAACTGCTTTGTTATCACAGAATAGAGACATAGGTTTGTCCACTAAGAAGCCCAACTCACTCAACAAATTCTTTATCCACATGCCTTCAGCTACCCCGTGGGCCATAGCACGATATTCGGCTTCAGCACTGGATCTAGCCACCACATTTTGATTTTTACTCCTCCATGTAACAAGGTTCCCTCCTATAAATGTGCAGTAGCCACAGATAGACTTTCTGTCACTTTGGGATCCAGCCCAATCTGCATCTGTATAAACCTCAACTTTTAAATGTCCGTGCTTTTGAAATAACAAACCAGCACCCGGATACTTCTTTAGATATCGGAGGATTCTCTCTGCTGCTTCAAGATGAGAGGACCTAGGAGCATGCATGAATTGACTGAGGACACCAATAGCATATGCAATGTCTGGGTGAGTCATAAAAAGGTATAACAACCTCCCTACAAGCCTCTAGAACTGTTTCACATCCTTGAGAGGTTCACCTCGACTGTCACCTAATTTATGGTTGGGGTCAATGGGAGAGTCAACTGGCTTCACCCCCATCTTCCCTGTGTCTTGAAGTAAATCTAKGACATATTTCCTTTGAGAGATGAAGATACCCTTCTTTGATTGGGCAACTTCAATTCCAATGAAGTATCTAGCAGGTCCTAGATCCTTCACTTCAAACTGAGTGGCAAGAAAGAACTTCAACCTCTGAATTTCATCCTCTCAGTCACCAGTAACAATTATGTCATCTACATATACAATTAGGGCAGCAATTTTACATTCTCCTCTTTTCACAAACAGTGTGTGATCTGATTGACATTGCTTGTATCCTTTCTGCTGAACTGCCACATAGAATTTGCTGAACCGAGCTCTTGGTGATTGTTTCAGCCCGTATAAAGACTTCTTTAACTTGCACACTTTCTGTTCATTGCCTTGAGACAGAAACCCAGGGGGTTGAATCATGTAAACTTCCTCTTCAAGGTCACCATTCAGGAAAGCATTCTTGATGTCAAGTTGATGTAAATCTCAGTCCAAATTAGCAGTAAGGGAGAAAAGGACTCTAATAGAGTTCATCTTGGCAACAGGAGCAAAAGTTTCAGCATAATCAACTCCATACACTTGAGTAAACCCCTTTGCCACTAAGCGAGCTTTGTACCTCTCCATTGTTCCAGCAGCCCTATGTTTGACAGTGAACACCCATTTACATCCAACTGGAACATTTCCCTTAGGAAGATCAACAAGATCCCATGTCCCATTCTTATGAAGGGCATTAATTTCTTCCTTCATGGCATTTGTCCATTCAGGAACTGAAAGAGCTTCTGCCACATTCTTAGGGATAGGAACATTGTCAATGGAAATAAGAAAAGCATGGAATGAGGGTGAAATGTTCTCATAGGAAACAAAGTTGAAAATGGGATGTTTAGTGGTGCACAATCTAACACCCTTCCTATGAACAATAGGATGGTTAAGATCATTAGCAGCAGAGGAATAACCAAGAAATATGCAAAGGATAGCATGAGAATCCAATTTCCCACATGTGGAAGACAGATTTTGGACAAAACACCGACAACCAAAGACACGAGGAGGAATAGAAAGAAGGGGAGCCTTAAGAAAGAGAAGTTGATGTGGGGCTTTGTACTCTAACCAACGAGAGGGCATACGATTTATAAGGTAAGCGAAACAAAGAAAAGCTTCAAGTCAAAAACGTTTGGGGACATTCATATGAAGTAGTAAATCCTAAGCCACTTCAAGGAGATGTCAGTTCTTCCGTTCGGCCACACCATTTTGTTGTGGCATGCGGGCACAAGATTTACGGTGAAAAGAACCACACGAAGCAAAAAATTCTTTGGCATTATTTGATTGAAAATTTTGAATTTCAGTATGAAATTGAGTAAAGACCATCCGCTGGAAATTTTGAATGATTTTTGGTACTTCCTCCYTGGTTCGCATCGGGTATACCCAAGTATATCTAGAATAATCATCAATGAGGGTAATGAAATACTTATAGCCACTCTCAGATGGTAAAGTAATAGGGCCCCATACATCAGAATGAACAATATGAAAAGGAGATTCAGATTTACTATTTCTTTGAAGAAACTGAGTTCTACAATGTTTACTTAACTGACACGTTTGACAAAAAAAATCAGAAACAAACATTAACTTAAACAGTTCTGGGAATACAACTTTCAAAGACTAAAAAGACAAATGACCTAGACAACAATGCCATAAATAGGCTCTCTTCTTACAGGATTGACTCGTAGACTCTGTAACATGAAGACCAGCCTTATTCTCCAGCATGTAAAGTCCATCARCCATACGWCCCCTACCAATCGTCCTCCCCGAGGCCAGATCCTGAATCACACAATGAGAAGGGAAAAAGATCATTGAGCAATTCAAGGAATTAGTAACACTACTAACAGAGAACAAATTAATGGGAAATTTTGGAACATGAAGGACATCAAAAAGTGTAAGACCAAGAGGAAGAGATAGGGTTCCTTGACTAGCTATGGAAGTATATGATCCATCAGCTAGTCTCACCTGTCTTTTCCAGAAATAAGGTGATAGGTTTGAAAGTAAGAGGACGTACCAGTCATGTGTTTTGACGCTCCAGAATTAATGATCTATGGAGAGTCAGGGGTGTGAGAAGTAACATGGAAAGTTGTGGCAGGGTTACCTGACGTAGATGCAAATGAGGTTAAGGGAGGAGCATCCATCTGACGAAGTGCTCTACCATAGATCTCTAAATGGTCACGAAAGGAATTTATAATATCCTCCCTCGAGTCAGATCTAGTGAGATGTGTCTAAGTCACAGTAGAAGTGGAGGGTTGATTCTCCCGAGTAACCATGTTGGCCATGTGATGTTTCTTTGTACCTTGATGTCCGGATCTCTTATTCACCTCTGAACCTTGCTTCTTAGTCAGATCTTGAGCCCATTTTGGTTTCCCATGAAGATCCCAACAGGTATCTT